GCATAGTTCCTTTGTCAAATGCTCTCTTAGCTGTTTCCTTCTCAGCCACCACAGGTTTCCTGCTTCCTTCTCAGACTGCAGCTGTCACTGAGACGCAAGGTTAGGAGGCAGCTGGGGGAATCGAGGAAAGGAGCATGGACCTGTGAGGCGACATTCAGAACCTGAGCAATTGGGCTGTGAGCTCATATTGCCAGTGTAGCTCATCTCACTCATGGAATGTTTACTTTTGGCTCCTGTTAAATTCTCAATCCTCCCCCTGCCCTGTCTCCCCCTGGTGGACTTCTGTGGCTGGCACACACTAAGTCCCAGGGCCACTCTTAGAGAACAGTGTCCTCAGTCTCTGTTTATGAACCCCAAAAGTTTTACCCTTGTCTTTTTGCTCAGCAGCTGGTGTTCCAGGATTTATATTGCATTGTTCCCTTAAAAGGCCAGGCCCTGTCGGGCTTAATCTTTCCATGCTGGTGGGGCTCTGGCTCCCAAAGCAAATGTATTGGGTCAGTCTGTCCACATTGGCTTTCGGGAGCCAGACTTGCTGGCACAGACTTCAGGGCTGGTGTGGATCGGTGGGAGGCTGGCCTGGGCTGCAGATGGTGTCACCAGCCGTCCTGTTTGTTCCTCAGCCCCTGACGGAGCCTGAGCCGACTGAATCTCCGTGTTCCAGGGCACAAAAGCTTCCTCCCAGGAAGCTCTCCGCCTTGGAGCAGCGCAGGCTGCGGAAAAGGAGGACTTGTTCCTTTTGAGTCCCTGCTCGCCTTTGACCTCTTTGCTTTCATCACCTCATCTGTCTTCAAATCATTTTCTATCTCTAGAATGAGTCCAGCATGTACAGGTTGTACAATTGGAGTGCAGTTACCATATAAACAAATAGTTTAATGGTAATAAACATTTAAGTATTTTCAGATCCTTCTCTCTCACAACCCCCCCAATATCATGGTTTCCGATAGAACTGTAATTTGGATACTGATTTTTTGGTTGGAACAGGGTTGGGACATCTGACCAGCAGGCAGGTGGAATAAATGCAGTGTGTCCAATCTTATAAACAGCATTCAGGTAGGACTGTCAGCTGTGATGGGACGTCATGCCCCCTTCATTTTTAAATACTCCAGAGCATTCCAGCAGCTTTTCTAAGCAGCACCTGTGTTGTCCCTGCTGTTGAAGTTCTGGAGGAAATCATTTGGCCATGCTTTTCCACGGAGTCACTGGGCCAGGAGACCCCGAAAGAGCTAGTAGGGAGCATATGCACAAATCAAATTAGAGACTCTTCGCTTAGTGTGATATATGTGTTAGGCAGCTAACTGAACGGTTAGCCATTCGAGCTCCGCAGTCTCTGTGTAATGGATGTGTCTGTCTGTCTGTCCCATTAATGATTTGCAGCCTTAAAGTTAAGATTTCCAGTCTTGGATTTCTGCTCAAGAGTAGTCATGAGTCAGAAGTGACTTGACCGCAGAGGGTTTGGGTTTTGGTTGGTTGGTTAGTTTGGAGGTTTTTTCCTCCGAGTTCCAAAGAGAATGTTGAACTGCCTTTTTGGTTTTTCAAAAATCAGGGTATTAAAAGATATGGCTCAAGTTGTTAAAACACAAGCAGTAGAAACAGTTACATTTAAGATCCTGAAGCAGTGAACTGACTAGGTGTCTCTTGCCAGGCATGGGTGTGACATTGTGAGTAAAAAGATCCCAGAGTCAAGCCAAACAGGGGAGAAATATGTTCAGATGGCCTAGTGATAGCAAGCTGCACTGCAATCCCAAAGGCACATGATTCAAATCTACCAGCTTCTCCATGGAAGAAGATTGGACAATCTCCTCTTGTGGATTTACTGCCTCTGAAAACCCACTGTGAGGTCAGCTATGAATTAGTTCCAACTCCAGGGCACACAAAAACAACATAAGTTTCTTCTAGAAATATGTGATATTTAAGGGTCTGTCTTATCAAGCAACATGTTATCTGAAACTAGGGCTGGGAAGAAAGGCACAGTGCCCAGCAAGGGGAGATTTGTAATGTTTGTTGCTCTGCTTTTGTTGCTAGAAAAAAAAAAAGAAAGATGAGTATATGTAGATCTTGTGACCTGGTGGGTAGGAAGTTGTGTTGCTAACCTCAAGGTGATACCTCTCTGAGGGTTCAACTCCAGCAGTAGATCCTCAGGAGAAAGATGGGCTGTCTCCTCCTGTGAGATTTAGAGCCTCCCAAAATAGGCTGGGAGGTCAGCTGTGGATCAGTTCTGATTTAACAGCAATGAGTTTAAGAGTGAGAGAAACACTAGGAAAGAACCAAGACAATAAAACAGTTAAGGACTGACTTGTCTAGGGCAGGTTTTGTCCTCCTGCAGGCGTTTTGGACAATCCTGCTCTCAACTCTCACCTACGTGCATCATTCGGAATGCACCCTTCTGCAGTCCCTGTGGTGGGAGCAGCTCTGAGTTTAGTGACTTGGTCAGAAGGGAGGCCCAGCTGAAAGGTAGCACTTGTGGAAAGCTCACATGAGCAGAGGCAAATGCTGGCCTGGCCAGGAAATGTAGCCGGTTCACCTCTCTCAGTAGGCACAAGGCCAAAGGCAGCTAACTTGCAGATTCTCATGATGGTTCTTCCACTCTGAGGTAATTTCAGCTCATCTAGAACTGCACCTGAGCCTAATGATGCAGTTAGTCGCGCAAGTTGCAAATTGGAGCCTCGTCCTAAAGTGCATGCCAATCAGGAGCAACCCGAGCGTTCATTGGCTCGTTGCCACAGGCTTAGGGAGGAATTTGCCACAGGGCTGAGTCTGTCCTGAGCCCGGCTCCAGGACTAGTGCCCTCCTCACCTCCCCACCCCCTCAGCTGCCCATGTTCTCTGTCGCTTTATTGTTAATTAGCTTTTGGTTTCTCAGACTGAAGCAGAGTCCAAGGTTAAAAGTCTCTCCTCCTCCTTTCCTTGTCTTCCTATGCGTTGCTTGTCTTTCACATCCCCTTGGGTAAAGAGAGAGTTGTTGCCAGGGTGAAGTTCCTGGGTGGTGCTAACATTTGACACACCAGCTGTTAACTGAAAGGTTAGTTTGACGTCCACCCAGGGACTTCTTGGAATAAAAAGGCCTGGTGATCTACTTCCAAAAAAGAATCCATTGAAGACCAGACTCAGACTCGTGTGAGACTGCCATGACTTGAAATAACCTGACAGTCACTGGCAGGGTTGATAGGGTAAAGCTATTGGGAAATGATAAATGATAACTCAACTGAGGGATGACGTAGGCTGCTGTCACATGGAAACACAAATTAGCACCAACCCAGAACCGCTGTAACAATATAAACACAAACATGGCCTTAGTTAGCAAGACCATGTTCTTATTTATAGCCAAGAGAACATCAACTCTATGTTGTACAACAAAGTAAAATACGATGACCTAGGATTTCAGTGGAAGGAATAGAAGTTAGACCGTATAAGAAAGCTCTGAGTTCTTAAGAGACTTCAGAGAAGTTCTCAAAACACTATGGAAACAACTAAGTTTGAAATACTCTAAGAATGAGCTGAATGTGTCTTTCCAGGTTTACTGTTATTGTTGTTCTTGTACTGTTGAGTCAGAACCGACCCACAGCTGACCCTCCAATGAGGTTTCGGAGGTAGTAAACCACACAAGAAGGTATTGCCCAGCCTTCTCCTATGGAGCAGCTGGTGGATTTGAACTGCATACCTTTGCACTGACAGCACAATTCCTTACCACTAAAGCACCAGGGTGGCAGATAGGAGATATTTGTTGGGGAAAGAGAGGTACTTGAGAAAAGGAATCAGGTTGGAGTGAGGTCTTCTCTCTGGGTCCTGTGCTGTCTTCTTGAAAGGAATCTGTAACTCAGATATTTGATTATTAGACTACAGCAGGTCTATTTTCTAGATAGTGATGCTAAGATGGAGGCCAGATGAAAGTGGTTTTAATAAACAGAAGTGCTCAAAATGAAGTTTAGTGGGGAGAATGTGGAGTAATGCCACCAGTTACAGATAGGTGCACAAGTAGAAGTGTTTAAAGGTATGTAAGTATCACAGAGTTATCTGAGATTGAAGATGAAGGTCACATTGACGGCTCTGTAGAGCTCAGGATTGCATCTGAGTTCAGCATATAGAAGCTGTAAAATGTAACACCTTCCCTTACAATTATCACTCATCAGATCCTTTCCAGATTAGACTAGATCTAGCCTCAACAGCTTCAAGCTAAGAAGACTGTGGGTGGACTTGGAAACTGTCCCACAGATAATTAAAGGAATTTGAGAAATCAAATTTGTAGAGAACAGCTTAGAATTAATAACTATCTTTTAGTACGTAAAAATCTCTGCCATAGAAGTCTGGTGCCAACTCTCCTTAACCTTCATTAAGGATGAAATGGAATCTTAGCAGCATTTGGTTAACAATAAGGCAGACTTGCCCAACAAGGAAAACTTGCCCAACAATGAACGTGGTTAAATGATGGAATGAATCATTGAGGGTAGGTCTTGCATTTCTGATGAGATTTTTAGCCAACTTTTATCTTGTTAGGCTGAATTAGGTTCATTCAAGTGGTCCTACCTGATGGCTGAGTGTTGTAATTAATGACCATTATGGCTTCTTATTCCAACGTAAAGATTCCTGCCCCTGACTGCAGGCATCTGCCTATTTTTACACTTCCCTTGTTAGGGTCACTATGAGTCATCTACGACTCGATGGCACTTAACAACAACAGAGGTTCCATAGGGAACTCAGGTGGCCTAGTGGTAAGAAGCTGCACTGCAATCTTGGAGGCCCATGGTTCGAATCCACCAGCTGCTGAGGGGGAAGAATGGGCAGTCTCCTCCCATGCATGTAACCGCCTCTGAAACCCACTGGAGTGTCATCTGTGGGTCAGCTCTGACTCTGATAGACAACGACAACAGAGGATTCATATCCCCAGGAACCGGGCCAAGAGCTAGACTCAGCTGGGTCTGCCTTCTTCCTACCCTTGAGCTAGCTGGTATTGCACACATGTTTTGATCTGATTGGATTGTTTTTTTGTTCTTCTCTCCTTTTCAGTATGAGTTTAAAGCCAAGAACATCAAGAAGAAGAAAGTGAGCATAATGGTTTCTGTGGACGGAGTGAAAGTGATTCTGAAGAAGAAGAAAAAGGTAAGTGGTCTGAACCAGAAACATTAAAGGAAGAAGAGAAAATGGGTATTGGGTAATTTCTAGAGAAACCTTTCATTAACTGACGAGAACATCCTCTTAGACCAGCAGCAGAATTGGAAGGCTACAGCTTGAGCAGAGAGTGAGGCAAAACTGCTGGCCATCCCACTGGTGACAGAAGCCATCTGTCCTCATCCTCTCATGCAGAGGCCCCTCCTAATTTTGATAGCCTTTGAGGAGTGTTATCTTGGGAAGCACTTCCAGTTTAAAGGTGAACAGTTAAGTAACTGGGTTCAGCTGGGGGGAGTGAACAAGAAGCTCCCTCATTAGCCGCTCCATTCTGTCAGAAGAACAGTCCGTCTCACTGGAGATGCCATCTGACCCCATTGTGCACCCCTGACTCGTCCTGCTGCAGTTATTGCTGCTTCAGCCTGTCTGTTAAACTACTCTCCCCAAACCTAGTTGTTGTTGTTCTATGTGAAAACTGGGGGGTAAGGAGGATGGGAGGTAAAGGAAAGTATTGATCCATGTAGTGCAATGAGCGTTAGTCTATATTAGCCCAGGACAAACAAGAGAGCATACACTGCTTAAACACTTGGTTGTTTTGTATTAGTTGTGAGTGTCTGTCATGAGAAAATGATGGTAACACCCTGGAAAGACTAGATTTGCATAAAGGTAGTCTTTTTCTGAAAGGATTTAGAAAAGAACTTGGTTGACTGAAGATATGTGGGGAGAGGCTGTACTTTGTTTCTTGACTCTGCTGATGTCTTTGTTATATGATTTTTGGGTTTTTATGATGCTTTTCTTTGATATTGTTGATCAGCACTATAGCCTGGGCTACCTTTTGGTCCACTACTTAAGTCTACTTTAATTCAAATGGGACTCAAAGAAAACTCCTAGAAGAGAGTGTGGAGGTTATGGAAAGCAAAGATACATAAGTGACAGGCAGCATAAACTTGGAGAATCAATCATATGGTAAGAGGGATATTAAAGGGTAGTCGTCTTCCCCATCCCAGGCCTTAAATCTTCTTCACAGCCACCTTGAAAAGGACAGTAGTGCCCAGTGTGTGATTTCCCACACCTCAGTGATGGGAGATTTACTACTTCCTGAGGCAGGACATTTTATCTCTGGGCAGCTACAAAGGTCTCCCATATATTAAAACAAAACTTGTTCTCTTTTGCTCCCTGAAAGTCTTTATGGATGATTCTAGAAAATATTTTTATGACTTTGAGTTTGGAAATATGTAGGGGGGAAATAAAACATGACATACTGTTGATAAAGCACAAACTCCTTCAAAATTCAGAAGTGGTGTGGAATTTGTAATAGCATGTCAAGTATCTTCAACTTTATAGACGCAACAGCAATAACAGCCCCTCATATATGAATGAGCTCAGATGGCCTAGTTGGAAGGAGTCCAAAAGGATTGGGAATTGCTTCAGTCTTAAAAACAGGCTGTTCAAATCCACCAGCCACTCCACGGGAGAAGGATGGACAGTCTCCTGCCGTGTTGTTGACCGCCTCTGATAACCTGCTGGAGGTTCAGCGCTGGGTCAGTTCCGACTTCACGGCACACAACAACAATGTGTCTACATACAACAGTTGACCATGACGCAGTCTGTACTGTTCTCTTGGGAGTTTCTGGTTTAAGCTGTTGCTGAAGCAATCTGAGGTCTATCAGGTAGGCAAAGACTTCTGAGTCCAAGTTAAAGAGATTATGGATAATAACAGTGTAGATTTAAGAACAAGAGTATATTCTAAGAAAAATTGAGCCATTACAAGCCAAGCTCATAAATTAGGGAACCATGCTGAGACCCTGCTTGACTTTTGCCACGTGTGTCAAAGGGTTAGCCCTTCATTGCCATTGCTCTCATGTCAGCTGATAAGGTAATTGCCATTTCTAGGTGCTTTCACTTCAATTAGCATCCACCCTTTCATCAGGACAATAAAGAAATTCTTTGTGGGGAACTCTTTTAGTCAGTGTTCATGGCATCCAGTCACCAGGGGAAATTAATCACGGGGACAAAGTGGCATTTCCTTCCCAGTACTCAGCCCCGACTAAGGGCTGAGCTGTCCGTCTTTGAGAGTCAGAGACCCAGACTCGCCAATGTGTTGAAGGTACCCAGAATACTAACATGCACAGGCAGCACTCAAAAGAGGCCGATGTAGAAACAAAACCAGCAATTTCTGAAGTCCCTGTAAGAAATAGAACAGTCTCACAGACAAGATAATTTTATTAGCCTGAAAAGCACATGCTCTTTTTATGGCAGGCAATTGATGTGAGAAGACAAATTTTTAGAAGGTTTCCCAGCAAACCTGACAGTAGAGCAGTATGCAGGTATGCTACTGAGTCTTGAGATCCACAGTAGATGCACCTAGAGAGTGCTGCTGTGGGGCACATGCTGTATTTGAAGTGTACTGGGTGTGTCTGATTCAAGCCATGGTCTTTCCGGTCATCTGCTATGCATCTGAGAACTGGACAGTGAATAAGGACGACAGAAGAATTGATGTTTTTGAGCTGTGGTGCTGGAGAAGAGCACTGAACAGCTCATGGGTGGCCAAAAGAACAATCTTCTCATGGAGAGGATGCAGCTGGAGTGCTCTTTGGAGGCAGGAATGATGAGGCTTCGCCTCACATACTTTGGGCATGTTGCTAGGAGGGCCTATTACCTAGAGAGAGACATGATGCAGGTGGGTTGACATGGTGACTACAGCAATGGACTCTAGTCAGGAAGCGTAAAGATGGCACATGATAGGACAGAGTTCAGCTCTTCTGTTCATTGGGTAGCTATGGGTTTTACTGAGCAGCACCTAACAACAACAAGACTTTGACAGCATTTTCGTCCAGGACTTTCTGATTTTTCTCCCTCCGTGCTTATTGCTCTGGTATCTCTGCACTACCCCCACCAATGTATACTTCTGACTGACATATTCTGTTTACTTTCAACCAGATTGTATTTAAGACCTGCTGTCTAGGAGCTGTTCTGCTCCTTTTGAGTAACTTTGTATAGCTCTGATCAGGTCCATTATAGACCACTTAATAATTTTATCCTTAGAGGATACTCTTATTTCACATTTCTCCATCTCTCCATCTGTCTTATGTATCAGAAAGAATTATGCAGTGCTGTCCCCACTCCATATATGAAAAAAACTGAGGTTAGAGAGTCAAAGTATTTTGCCTGGGGTCACATAACACGTAAAATCATGCTGAGGTATCACCTGGGAGAGAAGCCAGCCTCTTTCCACCAAGTAATTGAAAACTAAGCTGGAGAAGTGTCTCCCGGAGGACCTTCTGACTCACTTTGAAACTGCATCCTTGGTAATCTGTGGTGTAGGTTCACTTTCCAGCTGGCTCAGAGGAGAGGTGATCTAATAGGTCTTTCCTAGAGCTGATTCTTCTGGTGCCAGGCCTGGGAAGGGAGAGCCTTCCATCTCGTTTCCTCCACCCACGCCCGGTGTCCGTTTCAGGGCCGGGGCTGTGATTTGGATAATGCCTTTAATCACGGTGCTCATTTTACACCACCTCTGACAGACGAATGCACATTAACAGCAATCAGCCTTTTTGTCATCGTGTTCCCATGTGACAGCCCTCTGTTGTCTGAGCGCAAACACTGCCTCTCTCTTCTCTTTCTCTGGTCATTGCATTGAGAGAGAAGTGAGATTAGGCATGCCACCACGTAAAAGCACAATTTCCCTCAAGGAAGTGGAACAGCTGGCAAAGGTCAGGGATGGCCATCATCAACATAAGAACTAGAATTCTTGCCAAGTAGCCTCGGATGTAGATGCAACTATAACTGGAAACCTCAGAGGCACCATATACAGCCCCTCATTCTCTGATTAGTCAATGCCCTTGCTGGACTAATTAGTGAGTGTGTTATACAGTCCTCTTCTCCAGAAAAATAGCAGTTTCTTTTCTCTGAGTCAGTGTGGCGTGCTAGAAGGACCCAAACTATGAGGAGGAGACTTGAGTTCAGGTTCTACCTCTGCCTATCCTGCTTGTGTGACTCGGCAAGGTATTTTGCCTCTGTAAACTTCATCTGTAAAAGGAGTAGTGGATTAGATGGCATATGATTAGAACAGCGTGAATCCAGTCCTCCAAATGCAAAGATTGACCCAGTCTCCCTCTCCAGTCCTTCCGCCTCACATGCCCTGTGTCACTTTCTCTTAACTGCAGTTCCCCTAAACTAAGTCAAACCTCACAAATTCAAAGGGCACTGTCTTTCACACTGCTGTGTACCACATTGGGCAGACACCAAATTATGGTAGTCTAAATGACACCTCAACCTTCTGAGGAGCTGATCACAAATTGGGGGCTAGTTTCTCATGACCTCTGCAGGATGCCATCTTCAAGCTTCGGAGTCCCCACAATCTCTTTACTTGGTGACTTGCCAGCTTCATTTCCCCTTTGCGTTCCATAATTTGCTGCAAAAACTCACAGAACTCACAAGACAATATTTCAACCCTTCGGAAGACTCCAGGTGTATTATAGAAAAGGATACAAATGAAAAGATACATGCAGAGCAAGGACTAGCAGAATTCCCACCCTAAAGTGTCGATGTCCTAAGACACGACATGCCACTATGCCGGCATCCTGGATGCTTGCCAGCCGGGAAGCTCTCTGAGCCTCTATGTTCAGGTCATTTTTGCATGACAGGCTAAATCATGCCTCTTGAGAAAGGGTGGTATTGAGGTTTCAGGTGAATCTTTATTTTTTTTAAATTTATTTATTGATTTATTAATTAATTATTTTTGGGGGGTGTGTATGTGTTTGCTTTTTATTTATTTATTTTTAAAATTTTCTACTAATTTATTTACAAAGTTTGTATCATTGTTTTCCACACTGGACCATTGTGCGACCTTATGATTAATGCCCACCCCCTCTGCCCCTGCTTCCCACCCAACTTTTCTATTCACTTCACAGTAAAATAAAGTGTGTGGCCTCAGTCAGTCAGTCACTGGCACTAAGCTGGAACTGACTCATAGATCCAGTAGGTTTTTGGAGGCT